CTTTACTCGAGTCATTTGGAAAACCATGCTATTAAGAGGGGTTGCAACTTGGAGGTGTTCTGGGAATCGACTGCACGTATGCACCTGCAAAAATCCCATTACTTGAGAGAGAAACCCTAAATGTGTAATTGTTACCCTCAAGAAACAGGGCTTAGAGGCTCGCTCCCTCTAGTATTCCGCTCCCTCTGGTCATAAGATCCAACCAAATCTGGCAAAATATAACCTTCACATTCCCTCCAACAACACTAGACACACCACCAAGACATCTTCGCCTCACCTCCCCAGAAAAGATACTAAACCTAACTAACAAAGAAACGGGAGCCCTCCCGCCGGTCAGGGATCAGCTGCACCTCCAAGGGCTATAGGGCAACCAGGGGAGAGACGGAATCGACAGGAGGCATGAGTGGCTGGGTGTTGGAGATAGGATCTTGAAGAGCGCATGTTCATGTCATGCCATAATTTCAGTGGGGGGGTGGGGGGCCGACCCAATTTTTCTTCTAATCATCTACAAAATCCTAATGAAATTGCACCGTATACTTCCCTAAATGGTGAAACGCTTCCTGTCGGAAAGCAAGTGCTCCAGTGCGCGATAATTAGCCTTGCGTATTTTCATGTTTGCCCAATTGTTTGGCAGAAAAGAGAGGGAACAAATAGTGATGTAAAAAACCAGAATTAAAGCGAAGCGCTCCAACGCAAGAGAATTAGCCTTTCCCATCTTCATGTTTGCCCAATTGTTTGGCAGAAAAGAGAGCGGACAAATAGTGAGGTAAAAAGCCTCAATTAAAGAGAAAACATTTGCATACTGACATACATTATTCATGCCACATTTTACAACTTATTACATTAAGGAAGCAAGGTAACAAAAAGCGTTGTAGTTAACTAAACGACATTCTCCATCATCTTTCTAAACTCGAGGAAGCTGATCTTCCCATCTCCATCCTCGTCGAAGACGCGGATCATCCTTACACAATCCTCATATATCGCCCCTTCTTTCCACCCTAGCCTCCTCATCACGCTCCACAACTCTCCGGCGCATATGAACCCGTCCTCGTTACGGTCGAAAACATAAAAGGCCTCCTCCATCTCGTCCTCGCTCGCTTGCTTACCGTCCATCAACTCATCTACGACACCAATTCCTTCACACCCTTGGTACCTCCACCCGGTCACACCTAGCCTCGTCGTGACAATTTCTATGTCACCAGAGGTCAATTCGCCGCAACCAACTAGTTGCACTGGCGGTGCGCGGCTATCATCAAGCACCTTCGAGTCGACGGCAAGGGTACCATCATGCACTAGGTATTTTGTAAGTGTGCGCAAGAATCCCCAGATCTTTTTGCTTACCAGGATGATATCTACAATCAATGGCCGCAAGATCAACATCAGGAGAGATGACACCAATGCGATTATGATGTTTTGATCCATAATCACCATCGCCGACATGAAAAAGAGAGAGAATGAAATATATGTAGCTTGATGTAGACAGTGGTTTCAAATGGAACATTTTCCAGGCACATAGACATGGCCATATATATAGTAGGCCGGTCCATGACTCTGAGATATGTAGCACTAAAAGATGCCGCCCATCATCAGTTCGGAGAAATTGAGAGGAAGATGGATATCTTATTCATTGCTATCCTTGTCCTTTCCTGAACATTAGTTCACATATATCACAGATGACTTCACAAGGCTAATGTTTGACTCTGAACGAAACTTCCTGGAAATCTCTTGCACATATAGGACACCACCGATGCAGCTTCCTGGAAATTTCCTGGCATATAGGACACCACCGAAAGTTGTTGGCTCATCATCTCTAACAAGAACGAGACATGTGAGAGTTAATGCTACAAAGTTAAGGACCGCACCATTTTGGTGATATGGGTATTTATTAACAAAGAGTAAAATACAATAATGTTCACTCTAAAGATATTCTTGGTCGCTCGGTCCACTTTATTTGTTGGAATTTTCTGTCCACTTGTAGAGGGTACAATTCCATTCCACAGAAAGAAAGAAACAAGTTTGTTTTACGGGAAAAAGCGATGTAAATAAACTTGTAATTGCTCGGAAACAGGCCGGGAGAAGCTCGGTCCAAGTTTTGGGCCCAATCGCTCTCAGGTTGCTGATTCCCTCGCAATGTACAGCGAAAATGTTCACATTTGAGAGTCGTCAACCTTCACTCGTCAACGCTCACCGCCGGCGTCTACACTCTCCAACCACCATGGTGTCTGGGCCCCGCTGGGCGCGGTGAACTGGGACTGCTTTGCTCCCAAAAAGGTCCAGGTCTTCTTCTGGATTGCTCCGCATGGTAAGGGCAACTTCAAAGCACGGCGTAAACGGCCGTTCGTTTTATCCGCTTTTTGTCTTATTACGTCCGCCCATTTTATATGATGCGCTGGTCACGCGCTCAACGCGTGGCCGCATCTGATCCGCACGGTATCCAAATGCATAATTTTTTGCCAACACATTTTTTTATTTCATCAACGATATTTTAATACATCAGAATATTCACCATTTCTTAACTACTCCCTCCGTTTTCAAATATAAGTCTTTTTAGAGATTTCAACAAGTGACTACATACGAAGCAAAATGAGTGAATCTACATTCTAAAATATGTCTACATACATCCGTATGTTGTAGTACATTTGAAATGTCTAAAAAGACTTATATTTAGGAACGAAGGGAGTAGAATAGTAAGACCAAAGAAAATAAGAACCACAATTAGATATTTTAACATAAATCCAACTTTCATAATTGCTCCCACAAGTTGGATTAATATCTTCTCGATGCCTTTATTGTTGATCTGCGGCTTCTCGATCTTGCAAACTTCTTTCTTCTTCAATTCTAAAAAAGTAGATGTTGCTTCCCGTCTAATCCCATCTCTAGTCTAATCTCTAGCCTCTATTTTAGCAAAGTGTGCATGACCATCTATCAAATTTCGCCCAATCAATAGATTGATGTATTCTTCTTCTCAATACCAAAACTTGCATTCATCCTACACACAAATTTACGAATGAGCCGAGAGCTATTGAAAATGCGCCGAATCTGGAAGCACAACTGAAGCAAAACAAGCATATAGCTTATCTTTTCTGCAGTTGATGAACACCCACCCGGGATGTTCCGGCATGGTAGAAACGCGGCGAACGAATTACCGCAGGCAGTCGTCGAGCGGCAACGGTGAGCCAACAAGCCGCTGGGCCAGCACCGAGGCCGGACGACGGCCGGACATATTTTTACTGGCGCTGTTCCGGCGGGGTAGATCCGAGCGGCTAGAGACGGACTCAATGCCTGCATGCAGCGCAGAGGCGTTGCCAGAGCTGTGCGGTCTGGTGCCCGGCAAATCCATGGCTAGGCACAGCCGCTGGCGGCTGGATGCGGCTAGATGCGCTCAAATCCGGCAGCCTGGCTGGACAACGACGCGGCCAAGACAAAGGCCGTGTGGCTAGGGGGTGAGGCAGGAGGGGGGACGTTGGGCTGGACAACGAGGTGGCAGAGAAAATTGCCGCGGCTACGATGGTGGGTGTAGGGTTCGAGGGAGGGGGGAGGGAGGGGCGGCGCGGCTGTGGGGAGGAGGAGAAAAAGGGGCATCCGTGTCTCCAATGGGTGGGCTAGTAGAGGACACAGGCACGCGTCGCGCCCATCCGCGCGTGTCCATTTTGACGCAAACACGACTGAAAGTTAGGCCGGAAATGGATCAAAAGCGGAAAAAACGAACGTTTGTCCATTTGTACCCGTGTGTCAGGCCACTTTTTGTGTCCGTTTATCGCCAAAAGAGACGCGACGAAACCATTTGAGGTCGTACGTTAGAGTTGGCCTAACACTCACGCGGCTACGCGGCTCCCTTGAGGACATCTACGGTCCCCGATATGCTTTGATCCCCGCCGCGTCATCTGCACCACAGCCTAGCCAACACCGTCGTCCTGCTGTGTGATAGTCTGACTTAATAGAGATGATAGACTACTCATATCAATAAGGAATTCCTTCCTTTCCGGAAGCCCATTCGGACAGAACTCCAAAGTTAAGTGTGCTCAGTTTGAAGTAATTTCAGGATGGGTGACCGACCGGGAAGTTGGTTCCGGATGCGCATGAGTGAGGACAAACTGCGCAGAAAAGACTATTATTGATCTGTGGGGCCAGTCTTGATCCCGCCAGGAGTAACGACCACTAACGGGTGTGTCCGGGGCGTTACAAGTTGGTATCAGTGCCGATTCTCGCGGTTACACGGATGTTTGCGGACAGGTGCATGGTCATGTTGTTCATGACGTTCGTGACCCGTCGTGGCACACGACATGGCACATGTACCGGACTGAATGCACAGACATATGTGCCAAGAGGAAACGTTCATGTGGCCCGACGAAGAATTGTTGATTTTCCCCTTGTCGTACATACATCACCCTTTGTTTCTGAAACCAAAAGTCCTATTTCTCGGATTTATATTTTTTAGAGCTTGTAGATAGTTAATTGAAGTACAACAATTGGTTGTAATTTTGGTTCATGACCTGCACCATCTGCAAATACACATCTAGTATCCAAGAAAGTTTCTGTTCTGTCACTCAGGGTCATACTCACTGCAGATAGTAGATATACCTTCTGTCGGGTTTGAAATAAACTAAAAAAAGTAACATGTACATCATTAGGAGCCATGAAAATCATCTAAAAAAGTAAAAATAGAGGAGAGGGTCTAGTGAGTAGCTGGGTCCCTAGCAACCAAAAGAAAAAAGAGCAAAACAGAGACTAGTTACTTACTGTTAACTGTCTTATCTTGTGTTGTACGTCATGCAATTTTCTGTTCAGCTAACTGCATGACAAATATTAATTATTCAGTAGGCTATATTAGTAATTTGATTTTTCTTGTTTGGTGCAGTTTGGAGAAATTCATGGTTATTTCCCATTATGTTTCCCTTTCACACTAATAGCGATTGATTTGCACCATCCAGGGAGGCCTGCATTATGCAAAATGTCTATATCAACTAGAGAAATAGGGGAAATTAGTAAACATTATTATTCTTATGCCTTATCTAAATAGCTTGAGAAATTCCTTACATGGAATACATCATATATTTATCTGTGGTTAATCCTTCCTTATTTAAAATATGTGTTCGTTAAATGTTGATGGGCAAGGCATATATACTTGATTGGGTATACGAAATCTGAATGTCAGTGCACATGATCTTACTAGCTTCTAAATCCGCTGAGCTGTACTGATGATGGTGTGTTTGCTACTCACACATTTTATCCAAAGGATCTTTATGTAAAAACGATGGCCAGTTCTAGGTTGCTGGTATGTATTTTCACACCATATGTATGCGTGTGCTTACCCCCATCCGTCTCGGCACATTCAACCCAAATTTGACCAAATACTGAAGATGGTGCACTTGTGGGTGCTACGTGCCATGCATCTTGGCCAATCTCAAGGAAATAAATAGTAAAGGCAGCAGTGTTTAGTCGTCCGCCATAGAGAATCATCGGTGATATTAATTAGTATATCTCGGCCCATTGTTCTTGCTAATGAAGACTGTTACCAACATTATACTTTCCTGTGTCTCAAAACTGTCAACCTGACTTATAGAATGATCTTTTTCTTTAGGATTCATGTTTTTTTTCTTGTTATTATACATTACAATGAGTTCATTGTATTCAGTTTCTTTACAACTTCATGCACCTAAGCTATTTGCAGAAGGAGGGGAGCTGGCCTTCTTCACGTCTCGGGGCAGCGTCTTCCTTGGATTCAACAAGGAGGGGACCCGGCCTTCTTCATGTTGAAGGAAATATGCCCTAGAGACAATAATAAAGTTGTTATTTATATTTCCTTATATCATGATAAATGTTTATTATTCGTGCTAGAATTGTATTAACCGGAAACTTAGTACATCTGTGAATACATAAACAAATAGAGTGTCACTAGTATGCATCTACTTGACTAGCTCGTTAATCAAAGATGATTAAGTTTCCTAACCATATACATGAGTTGTCATTTGATTAACAGGATCACATCATTAGAGAATGATGTGATTGACTTGACCCATCCATTAGCTTAGCACGATGATCGTTTAGTTTGTTGTTATTGCTTTCTTCATGACTTATACATGTTCCTCTGACTATGAGATTATGCAACTCTCGAATACGGGAGGAACACCTTGTGTGCTATCAAATGTCACAACGTAACTGGGTGATTATAAAGATGCTCTACAAGTGTCTCCGATGGTGTTTTTTGAGTTGGCATAGATCGAGATTAGGATTTGTCACTCCGTGTATTGGAGAGGTATCTCTGGGCCCTCTCGGTAATGCACATCACTCTAAGCCTTGCAAGCATTGTGACTAATGAGTTAGTTGCGGGATGATGCATTACGAATGAGTAAAGAGACTTGCCAGTAACGAGATTGAACTAGGTATGAGGATACTGACGATCGAATCTCAGGCAAGTAACATACCGATGACAAAGGGAA